TAGGAGCGAGGACTGCAGACCCGAGTTCACATCCAAATGATGGAACTTGATGAGTAAAACCGAGATATTTCTGAATTCCCTAGGCCCGGTGAGCTCAAGGCCGTCGCCATTTTCGAAAAAAAAAAAAAAAAGCACACGGTGATTGACAACAAGAGTAAGGGGGGGAAACATAGAGTACACGAGATAATTTAATTTATGAGACCCCCGAGCGCAAGTGGGCTCGTAAGATGAAACTTGAAAGGCCGAGCCAAAGGTCATCATCGCTAGAAAAAACTGATCATACCCGTGAAAGACGCATATCCAAAAATTCCATTCACACGTCACCGCGTACCACTTTTTTTTTTTTTCTTTAACAAACGCAGGTCCTTATGAATGGATATGGAGCCATATGGAGCCAAAGAAGGACCCGATTACGCTTTTTTTTTAACAAACGCGAGCTCCATATCCATTCTTGAGAGCGTCAGCCGGTTCCTATTCCACCGGCAAGCTAGACTACCAGCCGGGCCGCCGGGGGTACCTTATTTTCCCGGGCGGCCAGGCCGTGCAAGGACCAGGGGAGGACTCCTCGCAGAAAAAAAAACAAAAAAAAAAAAAGTCCGGAAAAAAACTATGTTATGCAGAAAAATAAACTAGACAACTTTTGCCTCAGGGTCACATCGAAATTATTTACCAAAATTTTGAATACATATTATACATATAGTTTTTTTTTTTTTTTTTTTTGGCCCGGCCGGGCAAGTGGTCCCGGGCCACTCTGGTAGCCTAGCCGGCAAGTCAAAATAATAACATGAATGAACATCCTCACGCTACCCTCCGTCTGGCCGAAGGGCCCCTGAGCAGCATTGACATTGATTGCTCCAGCAATGTGGACCTGTCTCTTATACACATCTAGATGTGTATAAGAGACAGGTGTAAGAAAGAGCAAAACCCATCTGAGAGGAGATAGTGATCGTAAATCTCTGGGCACATAACATCGCCGTTAATCTCTGCGCATAACATCGCCATCACTACCGTTTCACTCGAATACAATGCACGTCCATTACATCCGTATCTGGGCCAAATTGAAGTCTAGATAAATACAGGCCCATTACAGCGGTAACGAGCGGGTGTTCTGCACGGGTGAAGACGCACCCAAAGCAGCAGCGTCGCATTCGCAGAGCGAGGGGAAGGTGAAACGACAATTGACGGGGAGGGGGGGGGGGGGGGGGAGGCGGGGGAGAGAGAGAATGAATCACTGGTAAATTACTGTAAATAAAATACAAAGAGAAGAGGGGCACTTAGACTAGGAGAGCGGACAGTCCATGCTGCTTCCGCGATTACGCAGGCTTGCTGACGCGGCCAGTTTTTGACACGCCACACGTCAGTCGGTGAGCGCTATATGTGGGTCGTGGAGCCTCGCCGCACCAGCCATGAAATGTGAAAAGGACAAGAATTATGCCGGTGTACCTTTCCATGTTCTAGCGGAACATTCATCCTCATTTATTTTGCACATTGGTGAGTGGTGCGACGAGGCCCTAGTCAAAAACAAAAAACAGTCCGCTGACATGGCGACTGGCTGGCTTGGTTGTGGGGTCGCAAGCAACAAAGTCTGAGCCGATTGCAACGCTCATTGCGCTTCAAGAAACGATATAGAAAAAAAACGAATCGAAAGTCTATTATTACAAGGAAGCAGAAGAAGAAGCAGAAGAAGATGGAATAAAACCAGAAGCAGAAGAAGATGGAATAAAACCAGAAGCAGAAGAAGCAGAAGAAGAAGAAGAAAAAGAAGAAGAAAAAGAAGAAGAAAAGGAATAAACGCAGTCCCGACCAGTGACGATAAGGTATAAAACCAGTCCCGACCAGTCACGATAAATAGAATTGACCCGACTGACACGTGGACCAAGCCATCCACTCAAACGCAAACGAGAACCCGCAGCCTCTTTTAAAGGCAATCAATCACTCGCTCATGGTGACACACACTCAACACCGGTATATGTCTCAAGAGAACGACTTGGAAAACAAAACAGCAAAGACGACGTCAGCGATGGAGAGTGCATGCCAACGGACTGAAAGACGGCACAGGGGAATGCCGAGAAAATACGCAAGCTTTTTCGACTACTAAAAAAAGGGCGGGGGATTAACGGGCCTGGTAGAGCCCAGTTGGTACATCCATGAACAGTTGAATGAAATACAGACCCAAGTTCGACTCCAGATGGCACAAGACGAACGAAATTTTTGAATTACGTGGGCCGGGCCGGTCAGTCCCACGTTAATATCTTTTCCTTTATCTTTTTTTCTCTTTATCTTTTTATTGCGCAACGGTTCTCTGGTCTGCTTCCAACAACTTCTCCGACGGGATCCGAAAAGAAAAATTTGCAAGCTGATGGAGCTCAGCTTAATCTCGAGCCAATCTATACTAACATGGTTTCTACAGAACATAACGACACTCAGTAGATTCAAAGACAATAACAAATAACAAATAACAAATAAAAAAGAGGTTCCAATCGTGCCACACATCACCAGGCCTGTGTATGCCCCCCTGCGTGCCCGCGTTGATATCTCAAGAAGGCCGTCGCCCGTTCAACAACCAGAAAGAAGGGGGGGGAGGGAGAGGGGAAGAGGGGGAAGGGGGGGAAAAGGGATGCGTGGAGGGAGGGGAAGAGGAGGGGAAGGGGTAGGGAGGGGGGGGGGGGGGGGGAAAGGGGAAGGGGGGGGGGGGGGGAGGGGATAGGGAAGGGGATGAAAAAAAACACACAATTGCTGTCTGTCCTCATAGTCAGTCAGGTGCACCGTTCCCGCCAATGCGCGGTGAGTATAGTATCCAGACGGAGCGATATCGAGGGTTGAATGTGATCAGGAATGAGGTCGGTTGCATTCTCACTCGTCCCGGCTTGCTCCAAGGGGAGATACTAATAATAGAAGAAGACAATAGATTCAGGGCAGTGTCGGCATCAGCCATCCATTCTCTACATTCGCGAGACATTTTTATTTTTTCGATCATAATTCTCAATGTCGAGCTGACCATTTGCTTCATTGATTGATTGATTGATTGATTGATTGATTGATTGATTGATTGATTGATTGATCGATCAATCGATCGATCGATCGATCGATACACTCATTTGAAAAAGTGCATAACTGGTTGCTCGCTCGACTAAGGGAATCACTAACTGATCATTTAACTGCGTGATTAATTACTAGTAGTTAGCTACTACTAACTGATTAGTTAACTGTCTGATAAGTTACCTACCTGTCAAACTAACAAACAGTTAGACTCACTCGCGCGAGTGGTTAATAGCGAGAGTGCCGCCCAATCATCGGCGCAACTTCAGCAGTGTGACGTCGGTAGGTTACGCATCATCATGCACGGGTGACTCTACCCTTCCACTTCTTCCTCCCTCACACCCTCGAGCAACTCGAGGTCCTGCTTGCCTATCTCACTCGTTTCTGGGCGTTGATCTTCATATCCACGTTCCAGAACACAGAATCCGGGTAAGTGTGACACTGTGACCTGCCCCTGTGACACGCTCCATGTGTGTTCGGTGATTCGTGAATCCCCGGGTACACCAACTAACCGCCTTTGGTCATTTTATTATTATAAATAAAATAATTAAACAAATTGAAAAGGAATTGATTAGTAATTAAATCCAATAATACATTCGCTGACTGACCATCACTGACCGACCGGTCTTTCTGCATCGATAGGTACTTTGACTATCATCCTATTGCTTGTTTGATTGGCTGATAGACAACACCATTATTTTAGGGGAGCGGATGGATTAACGACGGCTTAACATAAGAATTGAAGAAAAAAATCATTAGGAAAAAAACAAAAAACAAAAAACCAAAAAAAAAAACCACGCAAGAAAGCAACTTCACCTTTCCAGTTCCCGCCATGGCCGTCACGATGCCCCGAGCGCCCTGCGCGCTCTCCCCCCCATGGCAGATTGAATGGCGCAGATCGGAAAAGGGGTCGGCTTGAACAGTGCTCAACTCGGAGGAGAGGGCATGGCCGCCGAGTCGACGAAGACCGATGAAATGCACGCCGCCGTGAGAGGAAGAGGAAGAGGAGGAAGAGTGTGCGGCGACCGCCGAGCGGCTCGCGCCAACCGGTCGGCACGCAGCACGCGGAGCTGCCGCGGCGATGGCGGCGCCTTGAGCGCTAGCGCAGGTGCATCCCTCCATCTTTTCCCCTCCCCTCCTTGTTCCCTACCCCTCTCTCTCACAGCTCACACCACCACCCCTCCTCGATCCACAGTCGATCACCGGACCAGGGGACGGATTCCCACCGTCGTAGAGGGAGGAGCGATGGCTGCCTGTTTTCGCGCCGGCCCGCCTTACCTGCCACCTGGTCCCCTTCCGCCCTTCCCCCTCTTCAATTTCGCCGGCGCACTTCCTGCCCGCGCTGGCTCAGGTTAATCTGTGTGATGCCTGACTTGCGCCAAGCGACCCACACAGCTCTACCCAAGCCGCACCGGCGCGCGTGTCCGACTATCGGGCGCCAGTCTCGCCACACCACCCACCCTCGAAATGTGTAAAATGAGAATGAACTTCCCGCTAGAACATGGCCAGATGCGCCCGCCACGTACTCGTGAAAATGTGTAAAATGACAATCACCTTCCGGCTAGAACAAGGCCAGATGCACCCGCCACTTTTTTGTCTTTTCACATTTTGACAGGGGTGTGGCGCAGTCTCAGCGTTCTACAGTAGTCGCCAGCAGTCGGTCGCCGCCCTCAGAAAGCTATACTGGTAGAGGGCTGTGGAATGATGGCGGGCTAAACCATGCATTGAAAGAAAATGAAAAATGAAAAATGGAAAGAGAAAGCTGAGGAGACAGAGGGCGCGGTGTGGTGGGGAGACCCTTTTTTTTTTTTTTTTTT